AGTGTGTTTGGCTGAAATGGCAAAACTTATTTCAAAGTTCATATTTAATGCTAGATGTGTTTCGTCCTATTTTTCTCTCTTTTTTGTATTGATTGAGAGACAGTAAAATGTTCTCTTTTCATTTTCTATTCTGTCAAGTCTTGGGCCGTCTAACTAAAAGACCTCAAAAACTGGCTCCCATGCTGAGGTGTAATTGGTCTCTATCTCTGTCTGTCTGGCTCTCAGCTCATGGCCCAATGAACATGAGTGCTTGCACATTTGGGCTAATGATTTTGAATAGTGATTAAAATGAATTGAAAAGTGCGCTGCTTCTGTAGTATCCGGACCCCGTCATCATTAGAGGCTTTTTTCCTCTCTCTTCCTCTCTTCCTCTTTCTGTATCAACAGCGTTAGTCGGGCAGGGGTTTGAGAAGAGGCCTGGGGTAGGCTTTCATGAGCACAGGCTCAAAGGTTTCCCCATTTCTTGTAATCATGGACACCACTCTTCTAGCACTTTCACTGTCGTCTTCTGGCTCCTCAAAGGTGCCTTTGATTCTGTCCCATCCCGCACCCAGGCCAGATAGTGTCACATTGCATTTTTTCCTCTCTTCTTCACCCCCTTACTTGCCCTTTGCTCTTTCTCCTCCTCCAAACCGAGCTCATCAGTCGGTTTTCATATTTATTGTTCTCAGATTGTGAGCTGATGTAGCACTATTCTTTTAATGCCCAGACGTTTCTTCATTTCCCCATCCACCCCTCTCCCCTCCACCTCCCAGTAAGCCTTGATCCACCTTTTTATGATCATCTTCTTTTCTGTGTTTTTCCTGTTCTCCCGTTTTAAATGAATTATGCAGAAGGCAGGAAATGGGGATTAAAGAGGAGCTAAAGCCAGTGCCAGCATCAGTGGTTCACAGCTCCACACAGTCTCTCTCAGGATCATGAACACATCAGGGCTACGAACTAACCCTTTTCCCTCTGCTGGCATTTTTCTAAGTTGTCCATCTGTTGCACTTTGTCCTTCACTATCCCTGCTGTGCCCAGCTAGTTTTTTATTCTCATGGACATTTTTTTCCCCCAACGGATTGAAAAAAAATAAATCTTTTTTTATAACAAGGAAGAAAAAACTGTTGTCAACATGAAGAAGCAATTTTTATCTTTTAAACTTTCACAGCAATAAATAGTCATGTAGCGACCTTTTGTCAACATGTCAGTAGTTTCTGCAGTAAAAAAATGACGGGATGAATGATTTGCTGCAATTCATACGCATTACATTTGTGTGACTGTGTTGCAGTTTTGGGGTGTCAGTCCATTTCCTTTTACTCCTTTGTCATCTGATCATTTTTGTGAATTTGGGACTTTTGAATTTACAGGTGCTGGTCATAAAATTAGAATATCATGAAAAAGTAGATTTATTTCAGTAATTCCATTTAAAAAGTGAAACTTGTATATTATATTCATACATTACATACAAACTCATATATTTCAAATGTTTATTTCGTTTAATTTTGATGATTACAAATGACAACAAATGAAAATCTCAAATTCAGCATATCAGAAAATTAGAATATTACTGAAGACCAATAAAAACAAAGGATTTATAGAAATGTTGGCCAACTGAAAAGTATGAACATGAAAAGTATGAGCATGTACAGCACTCAGTATTTAGTTGGGGCTCCTTTGGCCTGTATTACTGCAGCAATGCGGCGTGGCATGGAGTCGATCAGTCTGTGGCACTGCTCAGGTGTTATGATAGCCCAGGTTGCTCTAATAGTGGCTTTTAGCTCTTCTGAATTGTTGGGTCTGGTGTATTGCATCTTCTTCTTCACAATACCCCATAGATTTTCTATGGGGTTAAGGTCAGGAGAGTTTGCTGGCCAATTAAGAACAGGGATACCATGGTCCTTCAACCAGGTACTGGTAGCTTTGGCACTGTGTGCAGGTGCCAAGTCCTGTTGGAAAATGAAATCTGCATCTCCAAAAAGTTGGTYAGCAGCAGGAAGCATGAAGTGCTCTAAAACTTCCTGGTATGTGGCTGCGTTGACCCTGGACCTCAGAAAACACAATGGACCAACACCAGCAGATGACATGGCACCCCAAACCATCACTGACTGTGGAAACTTTACACTGGACTTCAAGCAACGTGGATGAAGTGCCTCTCTTCTTTTCCTCCAGACTCTGGGACCTTGATTTCCAAAGGAAATGCCAAATTTACTTTCATCAGAGAACATGACTTTGGACCACTCACCAGCAGTCCAGTCCTGTTTCTCTGTAGCCCAGGCAAGACGCTTCTGACGCTGTCTGTGGTTCAAGAGTGGCTTGACACAAGGAATGCGACAGCAGAAACCCATGTCTTTCATACGTCTGTGTGTGGTGGTTCTTGAAGCACTCACTCCAGCTGCAGTCCACTCTTTGTGAATCTCCCCCACATTTTTGAATGGGTTTTGTTTCACAATCCTCTMCAGGGTGCGGTTATCTCTCTTGCTTGTACATTTTTTTCGACCACATCTTTTCCTTCCCTTCSCCTCTCTATTAATGTGCTTGGACACAGAGCTCTGTGAACAGCCAGCCTCTTTAGCGATGACCTTTTGTGTCTTGCCCTCCTTGTGCAAGGTGTCGATGGTCGTCTTTTGGACAACTGTCAAGTCAGCAGTCTTCCCCATGACTGTGTAGCCTATAGAACTAGACTGAAAGACCATTTAAAGGCCTTTGCAGGTGGTTTGAGTTAATTAGCTGATTAGAGTGTGGTACCAGGTGCCATCCATTTTGAACCTTTTCACAAGATTCTAATCTTCTGATATGCTGAATTTGAGATTTTCATTTGTTGTCATTTGTAATCATCAAAATTAAACGAAATAAACATTTGAAATATATGAGTTTGTATGTAATGTATGAATATAATATACAAGTTTCACTTTTTAAATGGAATTACTGAAATAAATCTACTTTTTCATGATATTCTAATTTTATGACCAGCACCTGTAGAACTTTTGTCGGAAAAAAGAAATTGGCTGCAGAGTCACATTATGTGGAGTACAGCCAGAAAATAGTTTGTTTACACTGAATCGCTAGTGGCCTAGAAGGAAATGCTTTTTTCAAYGCTCACTTTTTCAACAAAGACTTGTTTATCTCATATAAATAGAGTTTTTAAAAGCCCAATTCCCAGTGTTGTGTAGGTATACACAAGTTCTATTTATGTATTAAAAAACTACCCAGTATCTTCACTCACCCAGCAGGCTGACAAATATAAATGGTAAATTTTAATAAAATCTAAACCAATATGAGTTGATAGGAATGTACTTTTGAGTTCAAAAAGACAAAACAGCAGTTCAAACTTATTACCCCGAACAACTCCTACTAATGTACATAAATAACAATTTTTTTGTTATGTGGATGTTGAAATTCCTCAAGTTTCAACTTAGTGATGTCCTGGTAYTGATACTGGTATCAAAATTGGGCCCAATACCAGCATTTTTACAAGTACTTGTAATCGTTCAAAATATTCAGGACTGATACAGATACTCGTATCGATACCAGATTTGAGACCCAATTAAGTGTGTTACATTTCATATTTCAAGTGAAAAGTTTGTTAGTTGCATTCTTAAAAAAGTTATACAAGTTGAATAAAAAGTGTATCATGCTGTAAATTTGATTTGATCCAGTCAGAGAGGCTGTAGAGCCACCTTGTTCTAAAAGAAATGTGTTTTTGGAGTCATCGTGTAATATTTAGGTTGTAACTAAGTAAGCAGTCTGTATCAGCACTCTCTGTATTGACAAGTATCCTAGCTGAATTACTCGTACTCTTACTTAGTTTGAAAAAAACTGGTATCAGTAGGCCAGTCGTGATAAGCCTGCATCATTATATTATTTTAAAATGGTCTACAAACGATACTATCATTTATTGCACTAATTTACTGAGACAATTAATTGCGCAGAAAATTCTGCTATCCTGACAGGTCTAGGTATTAAGACACCCCTATTTCCACTGTACAAGTAAACTTTATTAGTAGATTCTATGCTACAGAATTTTTAACCCAAAAGAAGATAGAACAGTGGACATGTCATTTATTTTATTTAACAAAAAACATTCAGACTTTTTAATTTTTGTTGATGATAACTTCTGCTCATAATCACTTTACAGTGTTAATTCAGTTTTCCTCTACAAGCTCTCAGTTTATGCAGTGCGTTTTTTCCTCTCTCTCTGATATGTATGCATGCTTCTTTGGCTAAATGCATTATATGGAAGACGTATAGTCATCACACCTCTCGTGTGACACATCGTTGTTGATGTGTATGCTGTGCATCCTGTGTTAGTTATTAAATCAGTGTTAATTGTTTGACTTTGTTGCTGTGGTGTTTGCATTGCATTGTGGACTGAAAATTATGCCAGGGCAGCCATCTAAAAATACTTATTCCCAAAGAGATGAGTTCAGTGTAAATGGTAATTATAAGTCAATTGCATGCATGAATTTAATGTTTGCATCATACATTTTTCTTTAAAACATGGAAATTATTCATTCAAGTAACATTTCTTATTAGAGCAATGGTTATTTTAAGCTCAGTTGTAAGATAAGCAACTGGTTGTAGTTGTATGCGGTTAGCTTCCATCTAGGTCACATGTCTAAGTATGCAAATATAAGGAAGCATATGACATACACCCAGTGTAGTGCAATTCACTCACCTTGCTATGACCCACATTTACTCATAACAGAAAATTAAAAGGGACTGTGTAATTCAGTAACCGGAATAACTGGTAATTTCTGAGGAAGTTTTCTAAGGAAAACATTAACTGAAGGCTTCGTTCAGGTTATTATTGCTGCCTGCTGAAGCTTTGCCTTGATGCAATTTGAGAGGGATGGAGACAAAGAGTGTCAGATTTACAGGCATGACTTGAGATCAGGTTCTACAGAAACCAGAGACCATTCCTTCAATCACTAACTTGATAAGGAACAACCGTTGATATCGGCCTGTTTTGTTTAAATTTGTTGTTCTTTAAAATAACTGTCTTCCTTATTGGTTTCCAGGGGTGGACAGGATCAAACTCTTAACACCATGAATATGGATATACATCCACAAGGACCTCAAACAGCCGTGCAACCAGTATTTCAGGTAACTTTACACAAACRCAAGCCAGACTGCTGAATGTAGCTGTGAAGTACAGTGATCTTTAAAATGAGTTTAAAAAACGATTAGTTCCAAGATATTTTAGGCCAGTTTGAGCATTGCTGGTGTGTTCTGCCATGCAAGAGTCACACTGATGTTTAATTAATTATCTCAATTTATGCATATATACTAATTTATATACTAACTTGCAAATGTAAATTCAGTCCATGTTTTGAGTTCATTGTTTTGTTTGTTCATGAGAACGGTAGAAAATTTTCAGTAATTAAATCATGTAATTATTTGCAGTTTTTGGCCTTTTTACATAGGCGTTAAATAATAAAAGGGGCAACATCATGTAAAATCAACTTTTCTTGAGCTTTATATAATGTTTAACATTATCCCCTCATCAAAAACATGTCCAGAGTATTACTTTGATTCATTCATTCATGTTTGAGAAATCTTGTGCTGTCCTGAGGCAGCAGGCAGGAGAGCAAAAACAGCTGATTGGGCCTAGAACCGCCTTTTAGGTGCAGCTCCTCCTCTGGGCTGTGACTCCAAGCTGAGCTTCCCCCACGACTCCTGCAGGCTATCAGCAGCAACAACTAGCAAACACCTGGCAAAATCACACATCTGCTGAACTTGTAATCTTACTTCTCACTCCAGTCCTTTTTAAATCAAAAAATGTCTTTGAGGAAATGTATTTTCTGATGCAAGGAGACTACCCTCTTTTTAAGCTTCCCAAGGATGACACGGTTCATAAAAAATGGTTGGATTTCAATTCCAGAAGTAACCCTCCAACAAAAAAAAAAAAAAAAAATTTTATTTATGCAAGCCACTTTACGAATAATAGCAAGTTGCAAATTTCCAAAACCAATATATTATAATGTTGCTGCCTTTTTTATTATTAAAACAAAGAAGGCTACTACGCTCCAGGTTGTAAATGGCATGAAGTTGTTGTGATGATGTGCTGAAATAGGCGTGACATAAGCAGTTGGAGGTTTTTAAAGAGACAAAGGTCAATTTCAAGGTGTTTAGAAACAGCTATGATGTGAAGTCAAGTTTATTTTTGATTTATACATATAAACAGCATTTTCATAAGAACTAAAGGTGACATGGTTACCTTATTATAATATTGAATGGAAATATATGCCTGATAAACACATAATATTTAATAAGGGCAATCCTTCCTTTTTTATATGAAGCATCCCTCCCTCTTCACACTAATAAATTTAATATTCATTCTTTGTTTGTGTCAGTCAAGATGTGCCCTTCAGTCCAATCATCTGGCAGATGACTGTAGCCTGTGTGTGAGATGGACAGTAGTGGATGAATGTTGAGTTGTTGGTATTGATCAGAGCTCAGGAGGTTGGCAGAGCCTGGCCTCCCTGCATAGCTCTTTTTTTGTTCGATACAGCTCAAGCTTGTTCTGTGCAGATCTGGTCATTGTTGGGTTTTAATACCGCCCTCGAACATCAGGGACATTGATTTCTTTACAGGAGGATGTTTTTGCCTCCATAAGTATTGAATAGACTTTAAACAAAGAGGMTCATCCATATGCCCCAGAGTAAATATGGGGTTTTTTTTGAGGGGGGGGAGAAAAAAGGAAAAAATAACAATGTTAAAAATAGGATAGTACTGGTTGTGTTGTTTTGTTTTGTGTGTGGAAGGGCAAGGCAACATTAACACTAGAATTGCCAAGGGGGTTAATTTATTCTAAGATTTGTAATTGTAAAATTAAGTATAATTGGGTTGTACACAGAAGAACTGCAGATAAAAGCTCTAATAATTAATTTGACTTTGGCAACACTTCCCCCATGCAAACACACACGTTTTTTTTTWACTGATCTCCCAGCAGTTGATAATGTTTTATTGTTCTGCCTTAATGATTTCTTTCTCTGGTTTTCAATCTATTTCTAGCAGTTTACGTCAGTGTTAATTCTAGACTCACCTTTTTTTTTTTGCTGAAGGTACAGGAAGCACTGAACTTTCTATGTTGCATCATGTTTTTTTTCCCACACTGAACATGTTTGAACCGATTTCACATTTAATGGAAGAGGGAGAAAAAGAAGGAAAAAGTTAGATTATGTAGATGGCTGTCTAACCAGCATCCATATGGGTGTCTTTAAACAAGTCCTGTATCTGTTTCACACTTTTCTAAGGTTCAGTTTGCTTGGCAGACAGGGTAAAAAAAGAAGGGGGAGAAAAAAGCCCACCAGCCTCCTCCTGAAGAAATCTGAATTGTATATGTGATGAAGGATACTCCAGATCGCTTGCAATATAATTTCTCTTGGTCCCGGAGGTATGATGCTTATGCATTAGTTAAATGAGATGAGATGGTAAGATCTGCATTTTTAATGGGGCATTTGCTCTAGAGTGAGTGGGAGGGTTTCTGAGAGGCCCCTTCAGATCAGATTTCGACCGTCACTGCACAGTTTGACAGACACAGATCTGTCTGGAAGTACTGAGACAAGGCGGTGTGGTTGTGGAGCAGATTGAGAAGAGAAGGAATGAGAAGCACCTTTGGGGTGAAACCCGCTGCTTTCTCTGCCTGGCTCCCTGGCTGACTGGCTGAGGATGAATATTGCATGGTGCCTGCTCAAGGGGGCTGGTGGCTGCCGAGGGTGGGTGTTATCCCCTCCCTTGCTGCCAGTTGCTGTCTACATCTTCCCTCGTATCTAACTTTGTATCACTTGAATGGAATCCAAACAAATTTTGTGATTCTTTTTTCCACTTTGAAAAGCACTTTTATGTAAAATTTGGTATTGGCACATTACATTTTGAAGTTTATTTACAGTTGAAAGTGTAAGAACTGAGATAAATTACAATATTTTTGTCCTCCTTAGGATTTGGTCAGCACATGAATGAACTCTGTATCTCAGATAACAGTCCAGTCATGTGGTTCCAGTTGGGCTAAGATACTATTTAGTCCAGCTGTCTAAATTAATACTCATTTATCCAGTTTGGGTTTTTTTGTTCTCAAACAGCAAGCATATATTTTTTTGTTTTATAGCTTGACATGATTATTTTAGTAACAAGGTAAGTATTCACTTTTAGGGTAAAGTCGTAAATAGTTCTGAGCATCTCTAACATGCAATGCTCAGTGTTTCACAAGTTTTTTTTATTATTTTATTTTTTTACAAAAACACTGTCATTTCTCATTCTCAAATCTTTTTTTATTTTGACTTTTGGGCTGATAAATTTTTGTACTGAACAGTAAAATCCATGTCCTCCATCCAAATTTTTTAGACTGTGTAGACATTTTTGTGAAATTCCAGTCTGTACGCAGCCGTCTAAAAATGTGAGCTCCTTGTAGATGGTTATACTTCAAATTTAGCCTTTTTCATTGCATGAATGTACCTCGAGTTTCTTTTTCAGTATCTGCATTTTTCTTGGTCTTTTCATACGAGACAGCACCTCTCTGGTGCCGCTGGCCCTTGTGTGGCAGCCGTTGGCACTACTGGGCTGTCACATCACACCCTCTCCCCTCTGGTGCATGTCTCCCCCCCCACCTCCCCCTCCTTATTTCCTTTTCCCTGTCTTCTGCATCCCGTCTTCCACTCTCCATGTGCCTTGTCAGTTGTGTTTGGCAATGGTGTCATTATTGGGCAGCCCATATCACACTTCTCCAATGAGCTGTCTGTCTGCTCCTTCTCTGTTTCCCGCTATACTTATACTCTCTTTCAATCCTCCCTTCCTGTGACTAACCCATGGCGGATGTGTGTCACCTTTTTACCCTCTCCCTTACAGACGTTACCCATAATGCCTAGCTCAACTGCCACTTAATCTTCATCTACTGCAGTTTGTCCTAGTCTCAAATCAGAACTATGTTAAGAGTTAGTATGTACATCAAATGATGCAAAACAGAAATGAAAATTGAAAGAGTTTCAAAGGCATGTAATATGAAAACTAAATTTGTAGGTTTTTCATTTTTCCCCCATCTTTTTAATAGTCATTTTTTAAAGGGATCCATGATTAGTTGTAACATTAGACTTTATTTGATAAACATATTTTAACTTAAAATAAAGACTGTAAAAATACTGTAGGCTGTTTAGTGTTTATAATTTTAAAACTAAAAGTTTAAAAATATATTACACGGACGGGGCCATTTTATTTACACGCAAAGCATTCCGGGTAAATGATGACGTGGATAGGTTATTGGTGCGAGGCTACTAGCGAGCTATATCCACCCTGAAGGTTAATCTTGGACAATATCTGATGATCGACTCTTTTAAATGAAACCAGAGAGCGTTGACAGAGAGGAGAAGGTAGAAATGACTCAGCCTATAACTGAAAATACAGATGGAGGACCTCAGGTTAGCTTGTTAGTTTGTCGCGCTAGCGCCGAGCTAATACATATAAGGCAATATAGTGTTGGCGCTAATGCTAACAGGCTAAGCTGAGGTTCTTCTTCCATGAAGCAGCTCTGTTGTCCTCCATCCATCCAACTACTCAGTACCTTACTTAACACCCTACAAAGACAAAAATAAATCCAACTTCATTGCTGCAAGAACAATTTATAACAAATGATGCTACGTTCACACAAATGTGTTTTCAGCGTCAAAGACGCGTTTTAATGCTTCAGGTTGGACGCTTGTACACTTTGAGGTCAGATGCCCGTCCTTTGTTCTAGATGTGCCTTACACATGTCAGGCAGTGCCTCTTGTTTTTGTTTTCCTCAACCGGTCTCTGTACAATGGCGGATGAAATTAAGAGGCCTTTATTTAATGAGAGCAAGAGCATGTAGCACTTTATTTCACAAGATAATTCAGAGATGTTCTGAGTTTGGTGAGTTTCACCACCTGCTCCAGGAGCTGCGTGCTGACGAGGCTGGCTTTCAGATCTATTTTTGTCTTGAGCCCAGTTTGACGAGCCGTTGACCTGCAAAGATGCCCACATCTGTCAGGACACCGACTACAGGCATTCAGTTTTAGCTAAAGAGCTCCTGTCCATCTGTCTCAGGTTAGTGGTCATCATTCAGGTGACTGTCCCATCAGAAAATGCACGGC